TCTTTCTTTTTTTTTTTTTTTTTAAAAACCTTTTTTCTTTATCCCTTTGTTTTTTTTTTTTTTATTTTCGTTTACATAAAAAAATATAACACAGATGATTAAATGTTACTTTTGTATAGTAAATAAATACTCAAACGAATGTCATCTGTTGTTGTATGTTATAAATAGGATCAACGTTGTTTCTGAAAATAGGTAAAAAGCATGTGAAACGATTGTTATTATAAATTGTATCGTCGACTCTATTATCATTATTATTTATCCAATAAGCTTTTATATGAGTCGTTCCCGATTTGTGTTTGACGAGTAGCTTTATATCAAGATTTTGTTTACGCCATTGTATCCATGATATATAATGAAACCTGTAATTATATATACAATAATATTAATAACTATACTAACAGAGAACGTTTTTTTTTAAATACATATTTCTATAATAAAATGATATATTATTATTTAAACGTACCTTATAGTAATGATGAACCATAAAAAAAATGTCATGACCAGCATACAACAAAGTACAGCTAAACCAATACCTTCCCAAAAACCTAATCGTGCGTATGCATTAGCACCAATTCCACACAAATAAGTAGCAACTATACATAATGGCATAAGTACTACCAAACAAATCACATCTCCCGTGATTCCTTGTGGTCCATACGCGGAATTACTTTTCCACCATTGGCAACACGACTACAAAATATTTACACAATTTCCAATGAAATGATTATCAATATAAAATTTTATTTATCATATATATTATATATTGTGATAATTAAATTCTACTAATTACTTGACACAAAGGTTTTTCTTTCTTCTCGAGGACGTAAGTATACTTGCAAATTTCACAATGATCTGTGTTAGACGCGGTCAACCATTTTTCCAAACAACTGGCATGTATCAAGCCTAAACTACCGGTGCAATCGCAAGGATCTATTAATTCCTCGATACTGTCATCTATATAATAACACAAAATTCAATATATATTTCTACACACACATACAAATATTTAATTTAATATTATATATATGAAATGAAATAAGAAAATTGAATTAAAATTTGTCAGACTATAGATAAATCTTAAATATAACGATAGATAAATGATCTTTCATATATCAATAACTCATTAAGACGATGAAGATAAGATTACATTTCGAATTACAAGTGATCTCAGATATAAAACCATTATCCATTGTCTTTATAACCGTTCTAACATTATAAGTTTTATAATTATAATTAAATAAATTATCTAAAGACAAATATAGAAAATAAATAAATAAGAAAAAGAAAAATTGTGAAAAATACCTTCGTGACAAATTCGGCAATAAATATTAGAATAGCTGTTTCGTTTATCCGGCGTCATGATGAATTGGTAGAAAGGTGACAAAGTTGTTTTCAAAGGAACGATCGTTTTCTGTTGGTCCGTCGCTCCGACGGCGACGGACGATGAAGTTATTGTTGTTGATGATGGGTTACTTAGTTCGGATTCCATCATATACGTATGTATACGTTAAAGCGTTCCTTATCACGTTTATTATCATCAAATTATCGCGGGAAATGGTAAAACGTTCGTGACGCAGGATGTCACTAAATACTATTCACTATCGACACATTTAAAACAGTTGCCCCTTTTGAAATACTATCGTTCTCTTCAACGTCTAATAACTCATTATATTGATATAATATACATTTAACAACATACATACATATATACACACACATAGTTATCCTTGACATCGACGACAATAGCAGGATGTTTTGTTCCGTTCGCAGGTAAACGATCGGACTTTTAATAATTTTCGAATACCATTTATATCTTCTAAACGTGTTATTATATATATTCGTGAAAGTTATTCTTAAATATATATATGAAAGGTTGGATAAATTTGTGCGTTAAAAAAAAATGTTACTTAACAAAATTTTTAATTGAAATTCAGTCCAACGTGGCGTCCCCGATGATAGAACAATTCATTAAGACTTCTTATGTGTGATTTTAGTGAAAAGTGTGGAAAAATAAAATGAATTAACGTGCATTGTTATATATATATATATATATCTTCGACAGTTATGGCAATAGGAATTTTATTTTCAAAGTTACGAATCTCAATAAACATGGAATACGATGAAGAAATCAGTTCGAGTGAAGATTAGTTGAAATGGTTGATCAAAATAATAAAATGCATCTTTTGAAGATTGCTTTTTAAAATACCATATAAAACAACAATACATAGTTTAATGTTTAACAAATGTCAATATTATTTTATTAACATCTGTATATAATAATTCATTATGAATTCGCGTTTGCGAAGGCTTACACCATGATTTCTTATGATCATACTTTTTGTCTAATTTTGATGATCAATGATCCATTCGAAAGATAAAGATTTATTTTTACACGAGCCGATTAAATGCTATTTTTAAAATGGCCTTTTTTTGATTGTGTAAAAATGGTACTTTAAAATGACCTATTTTTAAATACAATTTTTTTTTACAGATAATAATATTTTGTCCAAAATATCAAATAAACTATTATCTTCTGAGTGAATTGTGTTGATCATCAGAATTTAAATAAAATTGCGAACGTGAAAATTAACAATGTAAAAAACATTTGCAAACGATAATGAATCGAACGATTATTTCTACAAAGAAAAAAATTCATAAAATTATTTAAAAAACTATAAATAATTAATTAAGGGGTTACATGGGTTTGGGACTTTCAAAAAAATTTTTTTTTTTATTTTTTTTTCAATTCTACAACTCATCTAGAATATTTTATTCAATTTTGAAGTCGATAGGAGTAGTAGTTTTAAAGATAGAGCCCTGAGAAGTTCCACTCTTTAATGGCTCTTAAACCAGCACTCAAATCTTAAAACGCGTTTTTCTCAAAACGCTTTTTCTAAAGTCGGTTGTCAAGATTTCTCGAAAACTATTTAACCGATTTTGATAAAATTTTCTAGACGTCTTCGTGATACTATTGACAAGGACTTGGACGAAGGATTTTCGTTTTTTTCATAAAATCGAATTTTAAGAAACCAAAATGTCATGCAAATTGTAGCGAAATTTGAATGTTCTTGCTAAAAACGTTACCAAAAATCCAAATTTTAATTTTTTTCTTTTTCCTTCGTCCAGTTTCTAGTTTGAAGTATTCACTAAAAGACCCTATTTTTTCAACAGAAACACCCCCACCGTTTATAAGTTCTGCTGTCAACGCGAAAACACTTTTTTTCGGTGGGGTCACCGGAAATGACGTCGCAATGGCGGAGTTGAAAATATTTTTCAACCAAAAATTCAGAAAATGTTCTTTGTAAATATGTATCTTAAATACTATAAAAAGTTTGAATAAGAATTTCATTTTTTATATAGAAAAAAAAATTTTTGAAAATATGCTATTTTTTCCCGGTGTAAACCCATGTAACTCCCTAAGAGACATATTTATATAAAATTAATGGAGGGGGAAAGAGATTAGTCTTATTCTTGCATTTATTTTCGTTGTATGTATGGTCAACCTGATCACAGAACATGGAAATAGTTTAGAATAGTATTTCATATACTTTAGTGTAAATTTTTAATATTTTATTTATTTATGTTTATAGAATAATTAACATAAAATAATGTTAGTAATGTTGTTTAAAAATTTGAAAAAGACTTTTTATACCGCTAAAAATACAATCTGCTGCGCATTCTCGAATATATCTTGACGAGCTGTTAAAGAGGTTACCTAACCTTAAAAACGTGCATGTTCTGCTTGATGTTTATTATTTTTCATTCTCAATTATTCATTGTTAAACAATAACATGAATATTCCTGATATTACTAGTGAGGAAGAATTATTAGATAATGACGACGACAAAGATTTAGATTTCGAAATTCAAAATTATGTAAACGAAATTAATAATGAAGACTCAGATGAATTTTCGGATAGTAATGATAAAAATGTAAGTAGTTTATAGATACTTTGTGAATATTGTTTTTCTTTTTTTTTATTCTTATTTAAAATTGCATCGACTGCATGATCATTAGCGAAATATTGTTTTATTTTTAATTATTAATTAAGAATATATGTTATATATATATATATATAGAAAGAAAATGATAATCAAGATGAAATAGAAGAGAACAATTATGGAGAAGAAGAAAATGAATACATTGGTCCAGTTTTACCGGATGGACATAGGTTTGATAGAAAATTTACTTGTATCAAATATCCAGGAAATGTTGTTAATCCAGACAAAGCTATCAAAACGTTAGGTGGTATCGAAGCAATTTCTACGGTAAATATATTATTAATTGAATATATTATTAAAAAGAGATTTCACTATCTTTGTACAATATTTTCTTAATAATTCCTTTTTTTTATTAGGCAGTAGATACTCCCAACAGACGTCTTGAATTAAGATTTAGACCAAATGATGGATACACTAAACCAGCGTGTGGTGATAGACATTCTAAAATGGCATTCTTACTGAGAGTTAGAGTTAAAAAACATAGGATTGATAAAGTACAAGAAAATGCTCAGAAATCTAAAGATAATACAAATGTAGAAATTATGAAAAATGTAATGAAAAATATGTCTTTGAGTAATAATAGTTCTAAAAGTAACGTCGAACAAAATGACATTCAAAATGAGCAGCAAGAAGACTCAAAGAAAGATAATATTGTAACAGATTTAGTCAAACAAATACAAAATTGTAATTTATCGACAATGACTGACATTGAAAGTTCTAGCAAAGAATCTTCTAATAAAATTTCTGATATTTTACCGGACGCGAACAAGAATTTTTCGGAAGAGAAACAAAATATCAAACCAACTTTTGATCGTAACAAATATGAAGATCTTTCTCAAGATGAACAATACGAATTACCAAAATTAAAAATATTAGGAAGAATCGATACTGAATTTCAATTTAATAGTAAGTATTGTAATAAATTCATCTATTTTTATTTTATATTTATTTAATTTAATTATTATGCAACTTCTTCTTTTCAGATTTGTGTGATTTTCAATATTTGACAATGACAGAAAAGAAAGATAATCCAAAAGCATTGGAATCTATATACGATAAAATACATCCAACTGGTATTCCACCTTATTCTTGGTTAAAAAATGATGTACCTTATTTCTTACCACCAGCTGCATTCAGCAGAATGGACAGTGTACATCAATACGTACCAAAAACTGAAACTAATTCGTTATCGGAAAATGTCATTGGAAAAAATAAAAAACGTAGAGGAGGTTTTGTCAATTTTATTTGTTTCAAGACTCAAGGTGTTCCTACTAAACCACCCCATGGTATTGAGACTGCTATGAGAGTGAAATTTTTACAAAATATGCATCTAGATAAAATTCGTCAAATGTTCGAGGAAAGACCAATTTGGTCAAAAAATGCTATATTATATAACACAAAGTTCACAACGGAACAATTAAAAATATTGTTACCCTCTGTTGCATATTACTTTATAACAGGTCCTTGGAGAATTATGTGGATTCGTCTAGGCTATGATCCTAGGAAAGATATTACAGCTAGAAAATATCAAACCTTAGATTATAGACTGAGAGCTATGCGTATGAATATTTTCTTTTTTTCTCTTTTGTCATTTACAGTCGCATTATTTATTTTAGAAACTTACGTATATCTTTTATATATCATATAGGTGGATTAGGTTCTACAATAAAATGTAAAAGAAATTATTCGGAATATACATTACCGTACAAATCTGCTCCAGCAGCTAAACCGAAGACTAGTATACTTACACCGAATATAAGTATGGAACCAAATGAGACAAAGGAAACCGAAATGAGTGAAAATATGTATATTTACAGAGAAGGCATGGTTCCTCCTTCAAGACAAATGTTTTATCAGGTTCTTATTACATATTAGGTTTATATCCTTGAAAATAATGGATATGCAATATTAAAATTATTATTTTTTTTTAGTATTGTGATATTCTCGTGGACGAGGTACAAGAAATGTTGGCAAAACTTCCTGATCCTTTGCCTGGTACAAGATGTCATGAGAAAAGGGGCTGGTTACCAAGTGGTTTTGATAGCCAATGTAGAGAAATAATTAATAGACAAATTCGAAATGTTTTGAGAAAACAATTGAACATACCAGAAGATCGTGAGTAATTTTGTTCTTTTCGTTTTCTTTTTCTTTTTTTTTTAATCATAGAAAATGCTAGTTTTTAAAAACATATTTTTGTATCTATAACATTTATTTTTTAGATCCTACGACACTTCCACGAAAACGAAAATGGGGACCGGGTTGTAGAATAAATAGGATTAATTATAAGAAAAAGAAAACAAATGCAAATGCCGAACCATCTACTTCTGAAGCTCGTGTAAAAACTTTATCAGAATCGAGCGAAGGAAAAGAGACTGTTATTAATAATGAATAAAATGTACATTATTTAGATCATTTTTCTTTTATACTGATATTATGTATATATATATATATATTCTTTAAAATAGAATAATTAATAAAATATTGTTATATATGAAAAATCGAATGGGGACCTTGTTCCTTCTTTTTCTTTATAAAACAGCAATGAGACACGAAAGGTCAAAACACAATAAAAGCGCTTTCTTACTAGACCTACGTTTACGATTTATTCATAAATGTACAGAAACTGTCAGCCAGATATCTATCAATAAATACGTGTACATAATGAAAATTACTTTTTATCGGAAATATCATAATTACACATTGGACGAAGTGGAAAGAGTTATAGTTGAACTTCATCGTTTAATGAGAAGGAAGGAAAAAGTTGCAACGACGAGACACATTTACGATAAACTGGACATTTTTCTTTTTTTCTATGACAAAATCAAATATTGATATATAATCGAAAAACGAATGCTTATTTTGTTATCACAGAGACAATCTAAATTAATCAGAATACTCTTAATTGTAATAACTAATGATAATTATAAACAATTTTTAGACTTTAGAAGAAAAGGAACAAGGCCAATTAAAAATGATGAAATAATAAGAACGAATTCCTTTTAGAATAATAACTAATATATGAAAAATATTCAAATAATATTTTCCTTGTACCAATTTCATTGAATTAATATAACGTTACCGTGGTGTCTCTCTATTGCAACGTGTAAAAGCAAAGAAGGAAAAAAAAAAAGGGGGGTGAGGTGGGTGTTGATGATTCTGATGAGAAGAAGGACCACCGTCGTGACATCACGTTGGCCTGCGAAGGCGTATACAAGCTCTCACAGACGAATACCACGGTTGGTATTTGCGACATAATTGAGGAGTTCCTCGGAATCTTCGCAAACGAAAGGTTTCTCGTGGTAGCAAGCAACATCATGCCAAGCTATACCATCGTTGTAAACGTTGTTAAGTACAGATAAACAGGACTCGTTGGTACCGTTGATATCGAATTCCGCATTATCAGGTTGCCTAACTTTCTTGTGTCCAGTTTGAGACCAAGGATTGAAACCCCAGCCAGGTGGTATCTGGTTGGTTGGTGACATTTTCTCACGATTAGCCGACCAGAACCAACCGTACAATGATTTAGGTTCCAAATCACGTCGATTTTCGCAACCCTTGAAATCACAAAGACGACCGGATGTCCAAATATAAGGAACGTCGTCTGAAAAGAAATAACAAAAAGAAGAATAATAAGTTGAATTAACGTAAGGAGAACAATTGCAATTTCGACAATTGAAATTTTGTTGAAGTTTCTTTTGCGTTTTATTAATCGAAGAAAGAAATCGTTGATTGTGCGAAAGAGATCGGGAATCGGAGACCGCGCGAGACACTATACAATACTATTGCATAAAAAGATGAGATCGCAGCCTCAACCCACTTAAAGATTCTTCGCATCACCTTGAAAGATCGACGTTATACTCTCGTCGTCACTTCTTTCTTCTTTTTTCTTTTTTTTATGAGATTCGTTTTGATGATTTAAGATTAGAAAATATTATGGGATACACTCTTATGTTGTTTACGTTACCAATCGACGAAATGATTATCGATTCTACAAAATATTTAAATATTTAAATGTGTACGCGCGCGTATATTTAGAAATAATTATTAGAATATTCGTAAGAGATTTGAATTAAATTAAGAAATGTTTTCGTAGCCAATCAATAATTAAGTCAGCTTAATTTCGTTAATCATCAAATAGTCGTTGGAGTCTATGTAACATGTTACGTCGTTAGGTCGTTCGTTTCGAAATATTCGAGACGTCAAGAATGATGTATCTTGTGAGAATGAAAGTTACGACGGGCGTATAAATCATTTAAGAATCCACGAGTGCTTCGTTATTAACGACATTTTCTTCTTCGGTTGATTCTTAATGCTTATGTATAGAACTTTCTAAGGTTATCGTGCCACGTCTCTTTATGTTAGTCGTTGAAATTCTTACGTAGTATATTCTCATTGATAATTTTCATAATTTTACATATTTCTTTATTTAAATTTAATGGCCTAGTACTTTGTTTACGATTTCTATTTGTCTCTCTTTCTGTGCTATCGTTTTTATCTTCCTCCTTTTTTTTTCTTTTTTTTTTTTTTATCGATAAAAAAGAAAAATAAGTTGTCATCTTTAAACGCGAAAACGAATGATAAAAGAAAATTGTCCCAATTGCATTAGAAATTGAAATACGCGATTACGAAGGTATAAATGTGATTCATTTAACAAGTGTCGTTTGTATAATTATCATCCAATCGATCAGTTATTTCGTAATTTATTATTATACTCACTCTGTTGTATAAGTCTGAAGACCATATTATTCTCCTCTTGAGTTTCCATAGATACTAAATCCATACAATATTCTCTACAAATGTTTCTAGCATCCAACCAATCGACTTTTTGATTAGCGTGGGCGGGAACGTGTCCGCTGTAGAAATAATTGTGACCACGGAAATTGAATTGTTTAGGTCCTAAAAATAACATAAAAAAACAACAACAAATTAATCCCAGTATTAAAATTAACAAACACACACACACACATACATGAGAAACGAATATACGTATAACCAAACCATATTATTTCCATTAAAACGTAATAAAACGTATACACGTAAACGCATCCGATGAACCAATTGTAAATGACAAACTTCTCATTAATAATTCTAATACAAACTAAACCAGTAATTAACGTCGACGGATTAATATAAATACGATTACAAAAATATATTTATTCGATTTTAAAAAAAAACAAGATAAAATATGATAATAAAATAAAAAGAATTTACGTAAGAGTAGAAGGGGGTAGGAGGGGGGTTATTTAAAGAAGCTCATATGACTCTCTCATAAACGGATAAAAATTCTTTCCATGTAAATAGAAAAAAAAAAAAAAGAAAAAACAATATATATATAGAAAGAGATGGAGAAAGAAGCACTTGTAACACGGAATCCGAATACACATATAATGTTTCGTAACACGGCGTTAGGTACTATTACTATTACTACTACTAATACTACTACTAATACTAATACTAATACTACTCATAATGGAACACACGTCGTAAATTGTCGATGGGAGAGGCATACCTGCATAAATACCGAGAAAAAGTATAAAACCGTTGACATTTAAAGCGAACGATAATGACGCGACGCCGATTACAAACCCTCTTCTTCTTTCCTAGAGCAACAACGGTGCTCACTCATCATGAAGATGAAGAAGACGAACAAGAATAAGACAACCAAGACAACGATGAAAACGAAGAAGACGATGATGATGATGATGATGATGATGATGATGATTACGATGCACACATAATCGAATCATCGCCCCACATAAACATAGATAAATACTTTTCTACGTGTTGTCTGCTTAGTCACGTGCAATTTTCTTCAATTGTTCAGCCAATTATCGAAGTTAAAAGATAGGATAACTATTACTCGTACTCATACTTTAGATACAATGTATGTAAGTAAAGAAGGTGCGTACGTTTGTCCTTATTATTGTGTAATACAATTATCTACGAATATTACTTTTTTTTTTTAAAAGTTTTATGTGAAAGTTAAAGTTGCGTCTCGTTGTTAAAGAAAATAAAATAAAAGGAACTTCGAAAGACGCGTTTGTAATTGTTGAGTCAACTTTTGGTATTTCGTATAGTTATATAAGAAACTTTTGAATAAACGTTTATAATTTGATGACGTTATACGATGACGAAAATGATATCGTCTTTCATATCTAATTTGTACACGTGTGTATATATATATATATGTGTGTGTGTATGTGTATTCTTATATTATTATTTTGTAAGAAATATCGAGTAAATATTCGACGTTCAGAAAGAGATCAGAAATAAAAGAGATAGGATTGAAATTCCATAGATGTTGCAAATTCATGTTTCTCGTGTTTCATCTCGACATATCGCGGTAGTCGATCGAAACTCGTCGAGTTCGTGCACGTGTTCAGCAAGACATTGACCGCGGTTAAACGATTGTAAAGTTGACGTGCCATGTAATATAACGTCTTATGCATACTATTGTTTGACAACACGCAAATACATTAAACATTATCACGAATAAATTCATAATCGAAATGTAACGGAACGTAGAATAATTTTGTTAAATTGTTATTCGATGAAAATTAGATTTTTTTTGTATTTTATTTTTATTTCGTTCGTTTGTTCTCTTTAGGATGACTTTTTGATTTAACTATATCGTAGAGAAATCGTAGGTAATCTTAAAAAGTGACTTTGTAAATTTATATAACTCGTATAATATAGAAAATAAATAAATAAAGATAGAAATTATGATGAAATAATAATAATAGATAAAAAAAAATTGATCAAATTAATCATTACAATTATTGTTCTATTAAAATATAATATTTCTTATACATTTATATATATATTCTATATGTATTTATAATACACATTACATTATAAATTATTTTAATATTTATTTGATATATATTATGATTATTTTTATAATATATTAAAATATATATAGAATAATATAAAGATATATAAGTTAAATACACGATATGATATTTATTCATTGATTCGTCGAAAAATAATTCGATGATCCTTGGATTTCAAGATAGAAAGGCAAAAGAGCAACAGGACCGTGTAAATTCAAATCAACGTTATGGTGGAATGATTGCACACACCTCCTCGTGTTCTATACTACGAACAACAACGAATAAGAGGATGAAGATGAAAATGAAGAAGAAGAAAAAGAAAAAGAAAAAGAAGAAGAAGAAGATCCGTCCATCAGGTGGTGTATTACGACATAGGACAGAGTCGTGATTCTCGATCTCGGTATAAATTTAACGAACTCCAACTGCTAACAGTGGAACAAGAATTACGACTGTCAAGGCACCATAAGATGTGTTCCCAAGGCGACCAAGAGGCACACCTTAAAATTATTTACTTTCTTTTCGTTTTCTCTTTATATGCCACTTTCTTATTTCCGATTAAATTCAAATTTAAAATTGAATTAATATAAATACGCGTGTCGTTGTTATTTTGTATATATATATATCTCTCTCTCTCTCTTTCTTGTATAAATTACTATGGATTAACAATAATACAAATCAAATATTATACGATAAAGATGATAATATAAGTGCATTAGTATTTATTATATTTATTATACGTGATTTCTTCTACGGTGTTGATTATAGAAAAAAAAAAAAACAGAAAAAAGGAATAAAGAAAAATGATTCGATAAGAAAGAAAATTAATTTGATTATCATCGTGTACATTAGCAATATAAGATCGTTATATAATCGTTTTCATATTAAATATTTATATACTTTTTTTATTATATTTTAATTTCCCATATGTGTGTGTGTGTGCGTCTCGCTCTGTGTCAAGGAACTCCCATATTTATTACGATAATCATTTTATTCGTGAGTACCGTTGTTACAGACGATAATTATGTAATCGTATAAGTACGAAGACACGTTGATGATGTTTATTCTTTCTCTTTTTTTTTTTTCTTACTTCTTTTTATTAACCTTTTCCTCTTTTTTTTCTTTTTTTGGCACTCCAATACTCACTAACACTTTTAACAAGATTCGATATTGAAGTAATAATCACGAATATTTAATTCAATTATTTCATATATATATATATAATAAAATAACAAATAATATTTTTCTAACTTTTTATATAAACTGTCGAACTGTTGTTGAACATTGATGAGGAGGTAATGTTTTTTTTTTTCTTATCTTTTTAAATCATTTTTTATATTCCACGTAAAGAGAAAGAGAGAGAGAAAAAAAAGAAGAAAGAAACACAATACGGAACACGTGTTTTTCTATGACAGATTGTATATCATCCGTTAACTTCGATAATGATATGCAATTATTATCGACGTATAAGATATTTTATCGACAACAGGTCTTTTATTTTTTTTTTTTCTTTTTTTAGTTTGACTATCAAGGAAAAAAGAAAAAATGTGAATTAGCGTGCATCGTTGAGAATGTATTATATTATGAAGTTAAAAAGGAACATTAGAAAGAGAGAGAGAGAGAGAGAAAGATCGATATTCTCATTTTTACACGTCTGATTTCCATTCGCGTTGGAGAAAGTAGAATAAATTAATTTTGGGACATATATCGATCTCATTTCCTTTTTTCTTTCTCTCTCTCTCTCACTCTCTCTTGTATATAGTTATTTTTATTTTTAATCGTATACACTTTTGATACTCGATATTAATATATTGTCCAATATAAAATATATATATTATTTATTGATAAAATAATTTTATACGTTAGTGGGTTGAAAAATTGTAAACCTAGTAACACAGAAATCATTTTTAACTTTTTCAGAAAAAAAAAAAAGAAAAGAAAAAGAATAAGTTTCGAAACTTTTCGATACGCACATGTAATTGAATAAATAAATAAATAAATAAATAATGTATTAATAAGTTAGTATATATAAAACGTTAACAGTTGATTAACATTCGGTTAAAGTATAAAAATATAATAATGTACATTTAACATACAAGTTAGAAATGAAAGAGAAATGAAAAATTCGATAAATAAAATAATTAAAAAAAACACACACAAAATAAAAGGAATTAATATTTGGTCAACGTTCGATTAAAGTACGAACACTTGGTTTAAATATAAAAACATAAAAAATAAAACATAATATATTTAATATGCAAGTTAGAAATGAAAGGAGAAATGAAAAAGTTGAAAAAATAGAAAATTCGATAAATAAAATAATTAAAAAAAAAACACCAAATAAAAGGAATTAATATTTAACGTTCGATTAAAGTACGAACACTTGGTTTAAGTATAAAAAAACATTAAAAAAAAAAACATACTATATTTAATATACAATCTATAAAAATGAAAGAAATTAGAAGAAAAAA